CCCGCTTTCACACACCCAAGAACTCCTGCAAGAGGCCAACAAAGTTCTTGATGTTGCTGGAGTTGCTCACTCATTTAGCCACCACAGGGAAGGAGAGCTGTGGTGGGAGATTGCCAGCGTCACTGTAACTGAGATGGCATTGCAAGGAATGCTGAGTCCGGAAAGACTCGAGCATCCGTCATGCCTTCCCTGGTTCTGTGCATGCCTGGAGTGTGTGCACATAGCAGATCCCCTTGTTTAAAGGCTTCTGCCTAAAAGGTAGCAACTGTTCTGACCACGGAGCATGTACATTAGAACAAGGTTTGTGCCAGGCCTTTGCCACTAGACTTTTTGGTGCAACTGGGCTTGTTGAGATTTGTTGAATCTCAAGCCTAAAATAATAATACAGGTGCAAATCCAGATGTTCTAGGTATTATCCAGCCTCCTGGTTGTAAACCTCAGTCTGTGGTACTGGGTTGGGAGGAACTGATGGCACCTTTCATCCTTGGACTCCTGTGAAGAACCCTCCAAGTCACTGAGATGGGAGAACAGGGTGTGGGAGAACAGGAGCTGAAGGTCTTTTCCTGCTCTTATGGACTGTGCAGGGAATTGGTCAGACACAAAGGCAACTTTCATGTACATGCCAAAATACCTAAAATAAGCCATGCAAACAAATCAGTCATATGTTATCCAGATGGGACTGTTCAAATCCAATAATAGCAGTAAAGTGCTCCCGAACTCTGCAGAGAAAGAGATTATAGAAGGATCAGGTATAATTATAGTGCCTTATTATTACCATTCTCATCATTCTTTCCAACAAAGCTTTTCGATATGGTGAAAAAACCTCTTGCAGGAAAGCGTAATGTGTTTGCTGGCATTTTTTCATTCTTCCTTCCAAGGCTGTTCAAGTCAGTCCTTGTAAGTGGTGTTAATAAATACTGTAATGATCTTGGACTATATCATCTTCCAGATGATACCTTCTTTAGCATCTCTCAATGGCCCTGACTACATCAAACCAGTCTCCCGAAATGCCTCACTGTTGCTACCACTAGTGAAAGCACCAGCAAAAATACCCCACAGCTGCTCTGATCCTTGCTTTGATAGGTGCCCTTCCAAGCAGGGTTGATGAATGCCCTTAAAATATCAGTGGCAGCAAGTGGCTTGTGTGTCTATATAACTGTTCCAAAGCTAGAAGAATACAGGTGGAATTGCTTAGCAAATATCCTCCATTTGGGGGAAAGTCACAGAGCCAGAGGTACTTATCTGCAAGTTGTTCTCCCCCACCTGAGTCCTATCTCGTCTGCACACAATTAGTGCTTGTGAGAAAAGCCCAGGGTTATGGGAATCAGACCCCAGGTAAAACGCGCATGGGAAACACTTTCCTTGTCTGCAGGTTGGTCGTGTGGGCTAGCCCCACTGAGAGAAGGAAAAAGGGCCCCTGGAGATGTTTTCAGCAGGTCAGTGCATATTCCTGTAAGTATTGCTGTTGGAGGGGCCTGATGGTGCAAGGGAGCCGTGCTCACCATGCAGGTGCAGCCTCACAGCAGCTCTGCAACCCAGCATGGGCTTCCCAGGCAGGGGATTTCTCACAGGAAGGGAGTCCCGTGCAGCTCTTCCACTTCTGCATCTTGGAGCAACTTAGTATAGGGAAAAGCGGTCAGTGGGCATGTGGACAGTAAAAACTCTACCCACACATCTCATTCCTAATCTGCAGCGCTCCCTGCATTGCCATCCTCATGGCCCTGACTCAGCAAAACCCTCACACCTCTCAGCTTGGAGAGGTGCCTGTGCCTGTGTCAAGTGTTACAAGGCAGGAGAGCATCTCTTCCAGGCTTCCTATCTCCATGCCCTGCTCACCTGCACATCCTGGGCAAACCAGGAGAAGTGGTGTAGTCCAAACAGACACAGCAGGCTTGGGGGGACAGGTTGGGTTTGCTTCTTGGGGCAGGAGGAAGGGGTGGTTTGCTGAGATGGGTCTTTCTCTTTTCTCCTTCTCTCCTCTTGTCCTCTCCCCTGAGCACCTTGGCAGAGCCTTGCTCTCAGCTCAATGAAAGTAGGGCAGAGCCTAACCACATTTCAAGCTGTCTGCGTTTTTGGATTCTGGGTAACTGTGATCTTTATCTGTTCCTAGAAAAGATTTAAACAACTTATAAACCGCAGCTGGGCAGAGATATTAAAGAAAGCAGTATAGAGGTTGGGAAGGATGTCCTCAGCATGTGCAGAGCAGGGAGAGAGCAGTCTGTGGGAGAAGCCATGGGCCTGGCTGTGGTAGAGCGTCTCTGCATGGCTACTTGGGCTGTGAAGGATACAGGGGGGCTGCCTTAGGGAAACCTCAGCAAGTGTTAGTGGCTAGGTATAAAACAGGTGTGTATGTGTATATACATGCATACACATATACACATACATATGAATGTATATGTACATACATATATATATATATATATGAGAAGAGGAAGTTGAGATATACTTAGCCACAGGAGAAGGAGTATGAAGCCTGCTCTGGTATCCACCTAGCACTTGTTCTCACTGAGGTTATGTCTCTGTGCAGACAGGACATGCTTCCTCTTGCACTCCAGGGCTTTTGCCTTTCCCACTTCCCATCCCTGTGGAACGCACATCTACCACCACGTGGTTCTCCAGGCAGGAGTGATGCCTTTCACTGGAAGAGATGGAGTGGGTTCAGGCTCAGTGCCCAACCTCCAAGCCCACAGAGAGGTTCAGAAAACCCCTCGAAGGTCTCCCACTGCCCCGCAGCAGCCTTGGCTGCTCCCAGTGCACTCAGGAGTGTTCTGCAAGGGTGTGAAAAACAAAACCCAATCTTCCTGCATGAGGCCAGAGCTACAGATCCTTGTCCTGTAGTCCTGTCAGCCAAGGATGTAGATGGCAGGTGGAAATTGGGGGTGGGGAGGGAAGACAGAATGAAATACATTTCTATATTGGCAAAAATCCTAGCAGAGAGGTGGTTCTTCCAGCAAATGCTTTTGCCAGGATTCTTTATTTAGCTTGCATAGCCAGAATAGGCCCTGGTGGCAAAAAGGCATTTTTCTACCTTAGGAGAGTGTTCTAAAACAGCTGTATCAGCCTGCGTATTCTCCACATTTCATGATAAAAGCAAAGTTAAGGAATTGATAGACAAAGGAGTCATACTCATTTGCCAGTGAAATTCTTAGCTACTTAACCTCTTCCCAGCCTTCCTCCCGGGAGCTGGCAGAGGCTTGATGTGCGAGAAAAGCTGTGCCAATCTAAAGTGGGGTGTGACTGCATGTGTCTGTTGCGGGGGTCCATGTTGGTTCCCAAGGTTGCTGTCATTGTGCTGTGGGTTGTGCCTCCCAACACCCTGAGCTGGAAAGACGCTGCAGGGCAAAGAAAAGAAAACCCCAAACCCACATAAAAAGGTGAGGGGAAGAACAGGGGAGGGAATTACATGATCTGAGTGCAGGGGAGCACAGGGAGAAGGAATTCGGATTTGGAGGCAGCTGTGGGGCAGGCCTGTGCCCCTGGAGGTGGTCAGAAGCTGCTCCCTGCCACGGTGCAGGGAGTGAGGCTGGCACGGCCGGCTGGCTCAAAGCAAGGCTTGCTGAGGCCAGAGCAGCTTTCCTGTGCAGACGAGGCCATACGGGCCATCTGGTGAGGCTGCTGCTGGCAGGGACTGGTCCTGCGGCTCTCTCCCAGCTACTGCTACCTTGTCCAACATGACCCTCCCTGCGCCTGCCCTGTGCAGACCCAGCCCCTGCCAAATTTGCCTGCTTCACACTGTGCCCCTTACAGAGAGGGCAGCTCAGCCCTTCACTCGGGAGGATTTCAGCGCATGATGTGCACACCTCAAGGCATGCAGCTGGTGAGGAGAGGGGCCAGGCGCTTCTGTGTGAAGAGAGCATGGCTGGGAGCTTTCTGCATCATGCCCTGCTCCTGCCCAGCATCCCACCACCAGCATTTTTGCTGCTCATGTGAGAAAGCGCAGGCTGGTCTGGTAATGGCACCCTGGGGCTGGTGACACATCCCATGGTGCTGGGAGGGCTGTGTGCCTGTGACTCCTGCTCTCTGCTCCCATGAGGGTCCCCACAGCAGCCACATACATGCCCTTGGGATGCTGCCGCTGTTTGTGGAGGCACTGATTTGAGCCTGCCCTTGATGAGGCAACCATGGGAAGGTGAACATCATTGCTGGAGCCTTGACTAGTGCAGCATTGCTGGTTAGCAATGTGAAATAGGTGCCTGGGCTTTGCTGGTCGTGGAAGCACCAACGTACAGTGTCAGGAGGCCTCTGCAAGCTGGGAAGTACCATTCATACTAGAACTGTGCTCCTCACCAGTGCTGTCAGGAGTTTCCACAGCTCCCTTGCTATAGGATGGATGGCTTCTGAGGAGCTGGGGAAGATGTGTGCAGGCTGACAGGTCCGGGCTGCTGCAGGGGCAGGGACCTCTGGCACCAGAGGGCTGAGAAGGGCAGCAGACAATGGGAATGGATTAACCCCATTGTCGTGGGGCTGTGCATCTGGCAGAGCCTACCCTAAGGTTTATTTTCCTTTCTCACACCCCATCTTCTGCCTGCTGCTGCAGTATCTGCAGCTTGCTGAGTAAATGTTGTCCTTCGAGTTGTCGATTACGGTTAATTAGCATTAATTCTGCCTTAAGTAGATGCTGGTTTTGCGTGTTTTCTCCACTGAGCAGTACCGGGTGTGAAACACGGCAGCTCCCCCAGTGACCTGGTAGGTGGGTGGGTGTGGGCAGGAGGCCGGGCCTGGCACAACACCGGCTTTTCATGCGGGACCTGTCCGAGCCAGGCCCCGTGTCTGCAGCTGGCCTGAGCCGAAACGCCGCTGACACAACCGCAGTTATCGCTCCTGACCGCTCGCTACCCGCGGGTCAGGGCCGGGGCGGGCCCCGCCGCCGGGCGGGAGCAGGGACGGCGGCGGTGCGCGGCCGGGGCGACGGCGCCATCTTGTGGGCAAGGGCGTGGGTTTGGCGGGTAACGGCCGCCGCCCCTCAGCCCAGCGGCCGAGCCAGGCCGGGCCCCGGAGGGCGACCCTCGGCCGAGGGGGCTCTGCTGTTCCTTCCGGTGCAGGTGAGCTGCCTCGGGGGAAGATTTATGCTCCGTTGCACGACTGGACGAAGCGTGGCCCGCTGTGCTGTCAGCAGAGCGGCTCTGCCTGGCCCCGCTTCGGCCGCAGGCCTGGCCAGGCAGGTGTTCTGCAGGAAGGCGTCAGCCCGAGAAGGCAAAGAGTCATTCCAGGAGAAGTCCGGCTCGGCCCGGCTTGCCACACGGGCTGTATGAGGAGCCCGTGAAGGGGAGCTGCAGGGAACACGACGGGGCTGAGGCTCAGCCACGCAGCATCAGCCTCTGTGAGCGCAGCAGGCGTGTGATGGTAATTTAGTCTCTGGGAATCTTTCCAGTAGATGAACAGAAAAAGAGCAGGAGCGGGGTGATTTCTGAGGCAGGCTCGTTCTGCTGGTGAAAGGGAATCTCAGAAGTGCCCCCTCCCTTCCCCACGGTAGTGTCAACACCTTTCTTTTTCTGGTTTCCCCTCGAGTTGCTGATTGTTCTCTTCCCTAGAGCAGTTCAACGGGTAGAAACATAGCGAGGGCATTGGCAGCTTTTACCTCGGCATCATCCAGCCCTGCTGGAGAGGCACTCGACACACAACAGTGGTAAAATTGCTGGCAGAGGTACAGCCCCGCTCGCGCTGGCTCTCCCGTCGCTCCTGCCGCCAGACAGAGGGAAATGTACGCCTCGGAGTCTGGAGTTAGAGGAGTCAAAGAGACTGTGAATCCTCCGAGGTGCGTGAGTTGCCGCTGGCTGGCTTTCCAGCGATGGGGGATTGAGCTGGTCTCTGACAAGGCAGCAGATCCGGAGCTGCCGTGCTGGGGGAATGCTCTGAAGCGCTCTCTGCAATCAGGCTCGCTGAGTTGCTGCAGCTTTTTTCTGCGCCAAGCGGTGTTTCTCTTTTTGGATGGTTGTGGTGTTAAACGCTTCAGCAATAAAGAGGCTTTGTTGTGGTCTCTGCAGCACTGCTTTTGCCTTGGCTAGCAGCAGCCTTTTTGTTTGAATAAATGCTTTGCCTGGAGTTGGCTAGGGGGGCATGTGTGGGCACGTGTGTGTATGTGCCTTTACTTGTGGGTGTACATTGGACACAGCTGTGAACAGGCAATTCTGGTAGGTTCAGTGCTTGCCCAAACTCGTCCTCTGTGCGCGCCAGAACAATGTGCTTTTCCTCACAGTTGGGAATGCTGGCCACTGTCACGGGCTTTTAACAGGGCTTGAGTGAAATTAATGGACGCTTTCCAGCTAGGAGCAGAAACTGTTGCTAGCACCTAGCCCAATCATGTATTTAGTCTCGGGCAGTGATCAGCATTCCCTGCATCAAAGGAAGAAACAAGCCGTACAGATCCTGGGCAGTCTGTGCTGTTGCAAGGCTACAGCTAGACAGGCAGTTCCCTCCTCATCACGCTGCAGGGACCAGCTCACATGCAGCAGTGTACTGTATAATGCATGAGTGAAGGTCATACAACGACCTATTCCTTCGGAGCTTTATAATTTATTTCCTTTGGCACAGGTATTCTGGTTGGCTCCAAAACCTAAGTTTTAGGGGGGATCAGTTCAGCCCTGCTACAGGCTGGCAATAGAAACACAGAACTCCCAATCTTCCCCATTTTCATCTCCCGCCATTTATGTCTCCAGGGTTAAAACCCAGTCCAGAATCTCCAGACCAAATTGAATTAGAATTTAACATTCAAAGATCCAGGCTCCCTTTAGGCTCTGAGGAACAGAATGTCATCCTGTCTCACAGTTAATAGCTGCTGGGTAGTCGTTTCAAAGCCATTTCTTTTCAGCAAGCTCTACCATAGCAAATCCCAGCAGTGAATGTATTTCTGGCCGTGCGGTGCCTCTAATCCCACAGCTGGGTTTTATGTGTGATCTCTTTTGAAATACTAGATCTATATATATTATTTTTTTTTGTTCCAGAGGGTGATATTTCCAGGACTTGGCATTTAGAGTGGCAACAGGGTTGTTTTTAGGAAGAGAAGGGAAAAGATGGAAGGATGATGTTGACCCAGCAGCCCCACAAAGCTACCGCACTTAATCCACTTATCGCTGTGAATTCCTGAAGCAGATAAATGCTGATAACAGTTAAAACACATTACTGACAGGAGCAGCATGTTCTGTCCTCTAGAAATACATCAATGTTGGAAATTGCAAAGCTGTGTGTTACCACGGGGATGAGCATGATAGAAGAGCAGAGGAGGCCCTCACTGTTCAGCAGAGCTCTTCCACAGGAGGGTAGTAAGACCTTGCCCCCTTCTCCCTCCTTCCTCCAACTACCTGGAGTTGTTGTTCAGGGCTGAGAAACGCTGCTGAGCACTGTTGTGTTCCAACAGCCCTCAGAGCCACAGCCGCCTGATCTGTGCCTACATATCTGAAACACTAAGTGAGCCCCAAGTGTCTTGTTACCGCTCTTGATTGTCCTTGCTGTTCAGCATTAAGACCTGCGAGGAGTAATTTCCAGCTGAGACCAGCTTCGTGCAGCTCACGTCAGCATGTCTTGGGGAGAGGAGTTGGTTTTGGCTAATCTGAGCTAAACCTTCCCTGGAGGAGTGCAGCTGCTGCACCAGCCTTCAAGAGCCATACAAAGCCACTTGCTCCTGTCCCCATCTGTCAGGGCTCTCTCTGAGCAAGGTACGGAGTTATCCCTGGGCTCTGGGGGTGGCAGTGGCTGCAGCTGCAAGCCACCCCCTGTGTCAAGACCCCTTCCTCCTGAGGACCTGTCCCAGGCTGAACAGGAGGAAAAATGCTGTAAACCAAAGGTGGTTTTGGAGCAAATCTTGCTCCTACAAAGTCTGGAGGAATAAATCAACTCATAGAGAGCAATTTTGATGACAGGCTCATCTACCTTCTTCACTATTTCCTGCACAGCTGTCTCCCACCAGTCTCCACAGCAAAGCACCCCATGTGTGCAGGCACCCTTGAAATTGCAGCCAAGTGCTTTCTTGTGGACAGCACAAATGTCTCACAAAAAGTACAAAAGGAGGAAGCTGCCAAGAGAGAAGTGAAGACCTCTCAGGCATTAGGGGTTTTTCGAGTCAGACACTGCTCAGCTGTTGCATTGCAGATTTCTTAGCTAAAAACAAGCTTTCATCAAAATCAAAGACTCTTCATGAGTATAGGCAACAGGATCCTCCCACAAAAAGAGGGTTTTCTTCTTCAAAGGGCTCTCCTTAGATTCCCCTACATTTCTTAGGGCTTGCCTGTATAGTGAAGCTGATTCAGAGCCAGCTGTGTGGATCTGAAACATCCCAGCCATTAAGAATGAATTTGCTGTCCCGTTGTTCTCACTTCTGGAATAAGAGTGCCTTTCTCCAAAGTGACCTACTAGAGGAGTTGGCTGTGGAGGGCAGTTTTGTACAGTCTAGAATACAGCAGAGCTGTTCCTCTGTACTGACTGCTGATGTTGGTACTTGTTTCCTGTGTTGAAGGCAAAACAGAGGATTCCATGCTTGAGTGTTCTCATAAAGGAGGAGTTTAATGTTGCTACTCTGCCCTGAATCCACACCCCGTGGCACTGCTCAGTAGCTTCCTAATGTGAACAAAGCACTTGATTAAGATAAGTAGAAGTAACGTGCCCTTATTCCAAAACCTGGATGGTCCATGCAGTGAGATATTCAGGAATAGCTGTTCCAAAACAACTGCGTAAACAAATCCTTGCAAAATTATGGTAAAAATCCCACTGTGCCACTTTTAAGCTTGTCCATTGCTCCAGAATCAGTTGAATCCTTCCCTGAATTTGACCACATTCACCTCAAATGGCCTCAGTCAGCATCAGTCAAAGCGCATTTTTTCCCCTATTCCAACATCAGGCTTCGATCATTGTGAAAGGTGACAAAGTTTGCTTGGAATGAGTGGGATATAGTCATCGGGAGACAAAGCTCAATGCATTGAAGAGTTTATAGTCTAATCTTTGGGCACCCACTGGTAGGTGTAACACCACTGTAACAGTACGGAGATCTGAAACTTGGTGTGGGGAGGAGTCTTACTGAAAAGCAGAAGAGCTGCAGCTGCCAGGAACAACTTGACAAAAGCAGCGTGTGTACATCCTGACATCCCTTCACAAACAGGAGAGGATCAACCAGCTGCCCGGGTGTGGAAATACCTGATAACCGCCATCTCTTTTGCCTTTTGGATCTTTGTGTCTGGTTGCTGTCTTCCAGCTTTTGACCCCCGCATCATGGCCTCTACTCTAAAAGTCATCTTCCTGTTTCTTTGGTTGCTTCAGTGTGGAGGTAAACCCGAGTTTTTATTCCTTTTGTTTACTCTCACGTTTGTTCATATTAGAGTGTTTCCAGCTGCTATCTTTTGCTAATTTCCAGAGATCCCCTCTAGGAATTGGCACGCTGCTGCTATTTCTGTCTTTTAAGCATTTCAAAGCAGAGAGAGAGAATCCTCAGGAAAGAAGGAACATGGGAGAAGGGTTGGATAACCTAAATAAAATGGTTTGGCTTTTTCCCTAGTACGTTCTTCTCAAGCTAATGGCCCCTGGGATACTGTAAGAAGATGGATCTCTCTTCTGTTTTGTTACAGCAGTGCTTAGCCATGTCTTGTGTAGAAACTATATTCATGTGTGTTCTGCTGCGTAGAGATCAGGAGAAGGATGATGAATGATTTTGGAAAATAAGGCCCAGAAGAAACCACTCTTTCTAACCACTGGTTATCACTCCTACACTGTCTGCAGGATTTTCTGTCACTGTCTTTCCATAATACTGCAGCTAGTGTTCATAGGACTGCATGCTCACAACGAATTGAGTATGTCCCTTAGGACTGTACTGTATCTCAGTTGCTTTTATAGCTAAGAACCTTTTTCTAATGATGTAAACTAAGCTCTTCCTTACTCTCTGGCCATTGTCCCTGGCTATATATCATCTGTAGAGGATCTTCCTTTACAGACGTTACTTCCCAACAGTCCTTTCTGGACAGTGGCCACACTCTTCCTCCATTACTGCCCCCCACAACCCTTCCTCAGTGCTTAGCATTCAGCTGTCCTGTGGCTGCGTTGCCTTTTCCAATACTGAGTCCCACTGTGCAGAGGTGATGCTGCTGTTGTGATGCAGCCTTAGTGCGTGATAACAGGAAAGCAAGCCTGGCTGTTCTCAGGGACAGGTTTAATGCCTTGTTATGAGCCTGCTTATAAATGCAGAACTCCAGGGAATCCCATCAAAAGCATGAATGGAAAAGCATGCTTATCTCCTTTCTCTACTTCTTCCTCCCCCCACCTTTTGTTTTCATGTCTCTGAAAGAATCCTTCATTTTGTAAGAAGACTTGGGTGTAAGTTTCCAGTTCCTTTTTTAAAGACAACGGTAGTTTGCAGGGACCTCTTCTTAATTTGCTTTATATGTGGTGTCATGTCAGCTGCTAAACAGATTCTGAGACTGCCTGATGTTAAACCTGGATTCAGCTGAGAAACGAAAGAGGTCCTGCACCCTGGCCTCCTTACTAGCCCATGGCTCACTCTTAGCATTTTATTTTTATTGAACAAAACAGGGAGTTAACTATGGTGTGGTTTTCCATCTGTGCTTATTCATCCTCTCTTGTAACTCCCAACATCATTGTCTAAAGAATTGCAGTGATAGATCACTTTCAACAGCCCTGTCTGTGTAAGGAGGGAGCACATGAAGGGCATGATATCCCATCTCTCTGCCTAAGATACTGTCACATACAGATACTTAAGATCTGCAGTCTTCTGCAGATAGTTCCCATATCTAGCATCGAGTCTTGTGCTTTGCTGCTCATTTACAGCGGTAAAAGTCTGGAGTGATTAAGCTGTGTCTTATTTCTCATGGCCCTGATGCTGGCCCCTGTACAGAATATGTAATTTCCTTCCTCACTCATGCTTCAGAAATACACAGTCCACCGACAACACCTGCTTTGCTTACAGCACCTTCACTGGTGCAGCCATCACATGGCCACACGGAGATGCCCAAGCAGAGGTTTGTAACTTGGGAATTTCAAGAGATGCCCAGCTGGCATTTGTCTTGGAAAATTGCTTACTATTCATCTGCTGTAAATACAGTCTCACACCACTGCAAAATCAGTTCACTTCCTGCTTCATTTCCTGTCTTTCTGCACACTGGTGTTGTACAGAGGAGTTCACAAGGGAAAAGGGGAAGCCTGTGAATGCAACAGGCTATCGCAAATCATACAGCAATTACCTAAGAGATGTGGCAGATCACACAGGGCACGTGCTCTGAATCACTCCGTCTCTGACAAGGGCCAACACTGTGTGCTACGGGTGCACTTCCTGACATACAGTTGCTCTCAGTGTGACCCTGTCTTTGGGGCAGCTGGCTGCTCCTGACTTAAAGTGATGTTAGACGACTGCTAACCATTATTACCCTTACAGGGGCAAGCGTCAATGTACAGCAGAAGCCTCCAATCCAAGTTGCGCTGCTTGAGGAAGGAATATCCATCCCCTGTACAGTCATCTTCCCTTATATGCCGAAATACACCACATTTTCAATCTTCTATTACTGGATTAATTCACTGGGCCACAAAACATCCATTTACAGTAAGTTGGAAAGTGTAACCATCCCTCCTGGAGAAGAGAATAAGACTGCTACTGTATCTTACAAACACATAATCAGGCCCCTTGAAAACACCTCTTATACTGGCACATACTACTGTGACGTCAAATGGAGTAACATTCACAAGATGGGAAAGGGAGTGTTTGTCCTTGCTAGAGGTAAGCAAACAACCAGAAAGAAAGGGTAGGTGATTATAAATCAACTGGATCTTGCTATGAAAAGATAATCTTTTTTTTTCCTCTGCCCAAACATGCTATGAAGTCAGGTGGGAATAATACTTTATGTCAAATACTTAATGCCATCAGAGTTAAATGCACTTTGCACAGGTGACCTGTGCTACTGTTCCCAGTGTGCAGATGGGACATGAAGTTGCAGTGATTTTTATCTCCCGTGCTGCAGCCTCCTGGGAACAGCAGGCTTAAAGCCAAAGTCTAACCAGGAAGCCTGGGCACGGAGTCAGGGTGTGCTTTGAGGTGTTACTGTTCAGGAGACAGTGTGCTTTGGCCTTTAGCAGCATGACAGAGATGGTTGAATGCCATGTCAGTGGTTCGGGTCCTTGCCGTAATCAGACCTACAGGCTAAGCAGTCACTGTTGGGGGGCTCACAAACATGTCAGAGGCTCACTGTAATCCCTCCCCCTTTCCCATGTGGTACAAGGGGTCAGTTGTTCCATTAATGCACAGACATGCATGCTGCTGACTGGCTGGATTTGCAGTACTGAATGCAATGCTAGATATGGAAAACTTCTTAGAAAGTGTAAATGCAAAGCGCTGTGATGAAATAGCTTTGCTGCACTGATCAGAGGATGTCTACAGTACCCACCCTGCTAGTTTGTATGACCTGTGTGCTTTCCACAGTTTGTCTTTCTGCCCCTACCACTAAAGACCCTAGCCAGTCTCCATCTACCACCTTCTTGGCTCTCAGGTCACCTCCCTCTAACCAATATGAAGTGCAGCTGCTTATATCCTGTCTCTTTTGTGTGATTCCTTGGCTGCACCCTGCTCTCTGTGCAGTCAGACTGAAGGTTTTGAAGGGTGTGAGCATCTGCACTACCGTATTCCACACTGTTTCTCTATTTTAGTTCTCTCAAGACTTTCTCCAGGGTTAAAGATAAGCAGGATTGTAACTTCCACTCACACTGTGAAACTTTTGCCTTCTTCTTACAGGTACAGGGTACGTAGAGACCTCTTATGGGTGGGAAGTCCTCATTACCTTTACAGCTCTTCTTTCTGCATTGAGCATAGCCGCAACAGCTCTGCTTCTGTGGAAAAGAAAGGCAAGTTATAACCAAATAAAAAGCAGTATCTGACACGACCCATTCTAGGAATCTATTTCTTTTGCTTCTAACTTGGCTGGATTGGAAATCCCTGTGCTGAAATTTTCCATGTTGGGTGTCTGCCTTAGGTTTGTTCTCTTTTTTTTTTTTTTGACTCCTTCTGAGAAAAAAAGATTATAGGAGAGACAAAATGGGTCATTGATTTGTCCATTAAAGAAATTCTGGTAATCGTTTGGACTCCAGCATGTCCTGCTTTAGAGCAAGGATCTGGCACAAGGCAAGAAGTCACACTAGCAGTTGTGCTGGCCCTGAGAATATTCAAGAAGATGTCGTCTTGTGATGGGTTTTCGGAAAATTGCAGTTTATGCCTGCTCAGGTGTGGCTCTTGTCAATTTAGCAGCTCAGTTGTCTAAAGGAGCCCCTGTGAGGCTGCTTTTCCACATGGTGCCACTTAGACAGGTAATGTCCTGTGCACTCAAGTGAGTCTGTTGCAGCCCTGGTGGCAGGCGGAGTGCAGGACTTTTCCCATTTCTAATCCTCTTTCATGATGGGGACTACTCTGGTTCAAGGGCACATCCTGATTGCAAGGAGGCTGTGCAACTGCGTTCCTAAGCAATGGCTCAGGCACTATAGAGAAAAGCAATTTGCAGCATGGAGGGGATGGGGACCAGAGCCAGACCAGACCAAAGCCCAGCTTTTGTTTGACAGAGAAAACATTAAGAGGCAGAGTGAGAGGGAAGGTCTGGACAAGGACGCCAGGAAGCCTGTGTTGAAGTCCCAATTAACTTGGAAAAAAAGGGAAACAAGGACCTGAAGAGCAACTTGCTTTAGTTGACATTGCTTTGAGCAGATGGGGATAGAGCAAGGCAATCTCCAGAAGCACCTTCCAACAGCAGTGATTCTGTGAGGCTGGAAGCAGCCTCAAAAGGGAAATTGGGACTGGAATCTGGAGTGAGGAAGCACTGGAGCTTGGAGGAGGGTGTTAGGACTGGACTGACAGGGCCCTTCAGGTGAGCAGACTAGTAGCACAGGTTGGGATCAGCTGGGTAGGGAAGTAGAAGCTGGGATGAGTAGCTGAGGGCAAAAGGGAAAGCAGGAGTGGGGAAGAAATGATGCAGAGAGCAAGAAAAGAAAAGCCAAAAGTAGGGCTGAAGATCTGGGTGAGACAGGGGCCCTATAGAAAAAAATCTGGAATTATGATACTGGAATACCTGTTTGGGGGAAACCTACTGCTCCTAGTACTGCCACCCTCAGGTGTTCAAATAACATCCTCTGCATTCTTCCAGAGATCTCCAGGCTGGCTTAAACCCCCCTGGTGTCTTTTAGAATGGCATTTGGGGATTGTTTTTTTCTAGGTAGGGTATGCCCCATATTTACTCTTTCAAACTGCCCTCTGCCAAAACAACAGCAGACTCTGCATGCTTTTTTTGTGGAGGCTGTGCTAGTGGTACAGTATGACTCCAAGGAGCATCAGGCTTCAGCACACACAGTCAGACATCAGGAGGTTGAAAACCGAATGGCAGCAGTTGGCAGACCTGCTAATCTCGTGAGACTTCCTTTGCAGGCAGTCTGATGGAGGGGGAAGGGGTGTGAGCAGCAGAGTGACTAGGCTGGAGACGGGCCCCCATCTCTGTTTGCCTAGACAGCGTCTCCATGGGGATGACGAGGGAGGCACTGTCACGACTTGCCAATTGGCATCTCTAGGTTTTGAGGTGGGCCAGCAAGTCTCAGACCTGCGGGCTCTCCTTGGGGCCCAAAGAGATCTTGCAGACATTGCATTTGCCCTCCTGCAGAACACAGCCCATATTTCTCACCACAGCTTGCTCAGACCTGCTGGTTTAAAAATGTTTATCTTTAAGAGAAGCTATTTAGCATCCTCCTTAGTTACTAATGGACTGGAAAGCAGTTCATCGTTTTCATGTGATGTGAATATAATCATCCCACTTCTTTCTGAATTAGAACAGAGATACGCAGCAAAGCCTTCTGCCTTTTCTGTCTCTTCTTTTGCTTGCTGAGCAGGGCTAACCCTTATCTGTGCTTGGGTGAAATGTGCTCAAGGAGAACTCATCTGATACATGAAACATTTCAGAGGAAGAGACCTTCCTTCAACCACATGCTGGACTTGTACATTAGCATATCACTGACTATATGTCATCATTAATGGTCATCTGTGCTCTTTAGACTGTGTACTAGCAAAAGCTTCCCGGCCAAATCCTCATAGAAGTCATCTTGCTTCTTTGAAATCCCCCTGCACACTTTGAACAGGGCCCTGCTTTACTCTCTGTCCTACAGCATTGTTGTGTGCTGTTCAATACTTGAACTCTCCATCCACCTAAGTTTCAGTGGTGGAAGTGATTTCTATGAATGCACAGAGCCCAGTTCTCCTTTCCACTGCTCTGGGGTAAGTCACCAGACCATTTAACCCTGTGGTGAGGAAAGGGACAAGGCCACATGTTGCAGAGTGCCAGCAGTCTTTCCTATGAAAGCAGGGAGGGAGTATGTGAGCAGCTGGCTTCGACATGACATTGGTGTTCACTTCACTTTGGGAAGATGGTGTTTGCTCCAAATGTGTCATTGGTGTCTTGTCCTGAGCAGGTGTTGTGCCCTAAAAGGAACCAGCTAAATATCCTGGGACAGAAGGTGGAAACCCAACCCCCTTCAGCCATCCCACCACCACCATCTCCTGTCTATGACGTGAGTATCAGAATCGCCCTCCATCCCTTCTGTTCACATCATGGTACAACCCTTCCTTTTCCTGCTCTGCCATGGTACAGACAGCACCAGTATCATTATACGAAACATAAGCAATACCTGTGCACCAGCTTGGTACTGATGACCCTGTGCTCTGCCCTGCTTAGCTCCTCTCAGGACTATGCATGTTGTGTGTCTCCATCCTGGTCCCACTCATGGCCTCCCCAGTGCCAAAGCCTTGCACTGTGCCCTGTGGGGCAGCACCCTTTCCTCTGACAGCAGTGTAGCAGCACAGAGCAGCAGGCTTTGGGCCAGAGGGGGTTCCTGGTGTTCGAAGAGGAAGGTCTTCCAGGAGGCAGGAAGAAAGATGGGATCTCAGCCCCAATTTGTACTGTAGAGTGTCTCATGGACATGACATTCCCAGCTGGAGAATGACAGCTCGGGAAAGGGGCAGAGAGATGTGCTCCCCCAAAACAACCCAAGCTGATTAGAGCTCCTGCTGTGACACCTCAACTGGTGTCAGTGTCACAGACCCTGCAGTTTCTCTCTCAGGGAGAAAAGGGAAGGAAGAAAGTGAAAGGAGTTTCTTTCTTGGAGCATCTCCTATTTTCATTGTGCAGGATTTCCTTTTCCATTCCCCAAACTGGGGAGCACCAACTGCTCCCACACCTCAAGGCCAGTAGGCTCAGCGTCATAGGTAATAGGATTGGAATATCTCTCCTGAAATGTCAGACCCAGACCTCAGCTACCTCAAGTAACCATGACCCCTAATCCCATGTAGAACCCATCCAGGTCCATTTAAAACTGATTCCTTTTTCTCCTTTTACTCCCATGGGAGGGCTGCTCCATGACAAAGGGAAGGGTTGTTTTTTGCCCACCCTCGTGATCTGCGGGACAAACAAGGAGGCATAACATGAAAGTGAGTAGAGAAGGTTATTTCCTGAATATTAGGAAACCATTCTAACTGCAGGGTCTGTGAGGGCTGGAAATGTCTCTCCAAGGAAAACCTGTGAGCTCTGCTGCATTAATCATTTAAACTAAACAAAGCAAAGCCCTGGAGAATGTACTACAAGAGGAGCAAAGCTCTGCCAAGGAGGTAGGAGACCTGATCAGAGGCAGATATGAACAAGAGGATGGGCCTGCCCCGTTCTCATTCTCACTTCACAGGCAGGGGAGGGGGTGCACCATTTTGTGGCCCTTGAATTTTTGGAGTAGAGGTTTAAAAAGAAACCACTATGTATTGTATGTGATATGTTTATTCTGGGCAAAAAGCAATGCTTTGGGTAAAGGAGGTTGCAGGTTATAAACCTTTTCATTTGTATCAAGTAATTTATTTTTAATTCAGGCTTATAAAAATCCAAATGGGTAGTTTCCTGCTGAAGTGGATGATTTCTGCAAGGAGACAAAAAAAAATCAAATCCATTTCTCGCTCAGTCGGCCTCGTCATGCATCCTTAGCTCCATCTTAATTACATGTTTCATCATGTTGTTCTGTTCAGGAGGCCCCGCAAAGGCTAATCCAGCAAGCCAGCAGAGGCAGCTTTAGGCACAGGCAGTGCCTGGAGCTGGCTGAGCCTCTGTGCTCACCGCAGCCCTATGGACCTGGCCCAGGCAGCCTTCCCCGAGGCCCGTTAACCACACACCAGCTGTGCAGGGCTCGCAGCCAGCATGGTGTGCAGAGCAGGCACTCAGCCCTCTTCAGCAGAGCTGTAAGCAGCCTGGACCACCTCCTGCCTGTGCGTGCCGGGGGGTACAAGCCCACCCAATGGAGGGTCCTTTATCGTAGAGCAGCTGCTGCAGAGTGACTCGTTCAGGCATGAAGCAGCAGCTCCAGCCACACACATGGCACATGATGAGAGCAGGAGGGAGCATGGAGGAAAGAGGGCTAGAGCCCTGGGGTGGGGACCCTGTGTTGGATGGGCCCTCAGGACACGTGAGGGGAGTGGGAAGTCGACAAACCCTATTTCCTTTGAAAGATGACTCTGGTGATCTGCTGCCAAATTGTGTTGGGACTCTGCATGGTGTAAACCCAGCTCTTCACACTGCACTTGAAACTAGGTGTGTTGTGAAAACCTGCTGCTGTTAAATCGGGTGTTGAACACAGAGCTTAATTCCTGGGGAGGGTAGAAATCTGTCCTCAGCCCTGGGGTAAGCTAAGGCAAGGAAATGGAAAGGACATGTGAGAAGTAACTCCAAGTGATGAGATAAAGAAGGAGGTCAATGATTAGGGAATGGGACAGGAGGCCAGAACATGCCAGATGGGCTATCTGTGGGGGAAAGCAAGAGGTCAGGCTCTGGAAACAAGTCACATCAAGGAACCACAGTGTCCTTGTAGGCCTGGAACTGAGAGCAGGAGCGACAGGAGACAGCACTGGACATCAAAGCAAAGGGCTGGAACAGGCTGGTGCAGCTCATGACAGGTTATCCAACACAGCAGCAAGGCTCACCCCGGTGTGGGAAGGATCCTAGGATACCTTCTGCAAAGCCATCCTGCTGAATATCTCTAGGAGCAAATGCCTTCCCCGCTGGCTCTTTCAGGTGCCACTGTTCACCTCGTGGTCCCTGGGGTAGGTTTATGCAGTGAAAAGCAGCAGGTAGCAATAAGCCCTGAAAATAAGAGGGCCGCTGGGCACCCTCTTTGTTCCCATTAGACTGCCAGTTGTTCCTTGACCTCTTTGTCTCTCCTGCATCACTAGAGCAGCTCTACCTCACTGCACTGCCCAGACCCAAACCTGTATTTTCCTCTGTCTTCCAGCTCAGCTGCCTTGTTAACGAGCAGCTTGGAAATAACAATCCAAGGGACTCGCTTCATCCACTTTACACTTCAAATAAGCTTTTTAGAGCAGCAAACAGAACCCCTGCAGTGCAGGCAGGTTCCAGAGCACAGGAGCTTTTCATGGTGCGAGGGAGACAAGGAGGCTGCTCGGGGATGGGCAGGCATCTGCCAGCAGGGAGGAGAGAGGCCTGTGTGCCTCCACTGTGACAGTAGCAGGTGGTCAGCGACCAAGGAAAAGTAATTAATTTGCAAATGGTGACTGGAGAAACCAGCTTTCCAAGGAGCCAGCAAAGGACCAGCACTGTCAATAGCCTCCATGGGAAGAGGGCTCGAGGAGGGAGGGAATGATTTTTGGAGGTTAAACACCAAAAGGATCTTTCTTGCTTGCGAGTGGAGTCAGACTAGAGCAGTGAAAGAGGCTGCCTGTTGTCCTGCCAAGGGGGCACAGTGCCAGGCTGCTGGGAGCACAGCATGTGGGATGAGGTCCTCACTGTGAGCATCACAAAGAGAATTGAAAATGAGGATGGGGAAATGGGATTCTCCATGTGCGCGAGTGTACATACGAATAGTTGGGAATGTCTGTGTAGGCAAGCGGGCTGTTGGGAATGGGAAGCAGACAGGTGAAATAATTTGACTGTTCCCAGAGGAGGGGTGGGAATGGGAGTGCCATGTGGTGCTCCATTCTCTGCGCCCCCCTCCTGTCCAAGTGCTTGCTTGTTCCAAGCTCCACTTGCAAACGCTGCGCCTCTATCATCTGGTCCTGTTCAAACCACCATCCTGCTGGCCATGATCCCGAAAGATATTGAGTGTTTGTAGCTCTGGATAAAATGATGAGGCTTCAGGTGATTGGGCAGCCCCAGAATCGGCCCTCCATGTTTTGCTCTTCCTCTTTGCTGCGTTGCAGGGCGCCTCGCTCTCTTTGCAGTCTCTCCACTAATACCATCTGCCCCTCTTGCGGCCGGAGCTCCTCCCATCTTCCTGTTGCCAGAGAAACAGCCACCTTGGCAACCTGCTGTCATCCTTGAAACACACACGGAAAAGTCCTCCTGATTGTTATGTTTGATCCTCCAGGCAGATCTGGAACATCACTCAAACTGACACGCATCTCCTGTGACATGATTACCTGGGGGACCAGTGGGTGCATATTCATGCAGGGCATGTGTATGTTTGTGTAGCTGTGTGGGACCACGGGTATGTTTGAGGGCCTGGGAGTGTATTGATTTTTATTATTATTATTCTTTGCTCACTCTAAGAAGAAAAGAGAGATCCAGGTTGGGAAAAAAAATAACCCAGACAATAAACAGGAATCTTGCCTGAGGTAGGGTTTCCCATTTTTTGACAGCCCATGTGCTTCAGGACCTTCAGCCTTGCCCCTCTTCTCACCTTTGTATGCCCAGAATAACCATGAGCGAGAGCTTGTGGGTGTCAGGCACCTAAACAGTTCTGGGTGCAGAGCACTGCCCATTACCTGTGGTCCACATGATGCACAATATCCTTCCATGAGGCAGAGGGGTCTTTATCCTGCATTCTGGGACAATTTGAAAGTGGAAGAAAGTGGTAGCATTGGCATTCTTTTCCACTGCTTTACACAGGGTAGGTAACATCAAAGCCTCCCCCTGTGAGCCTGAAAAAGGAAGATGATGCAGTTGCACTGTAGAGCTTTCAGGGGAAAAGGATTTTCTGTTTGCCCAAGTTCAGGTCAGGAACTTCAAAATTTTGGAGATGGCAGTTCCTAAAAAATGTCAGGCATGAGATGGGGAACAACGCAGTAGGCTATTAATTGTCTTAAACCTGAGTAATTTATTTGACCCTTAATCTCTTCTCTGTTCTTCTGCAGTGCCTGGACTTACAGCAAGTTGATGTCTATTCTATCCTCAAGGACAATGCAAACAACCTGTCACCCAGAAAGAGTCCTCCAGGGAAGGTGAGGCTGGGGCCCTGCTCTTGGAGAGCTCCCTTATGCCCTGGGCACACGGGGAAAGAAACCCCAGAGTCACCATGGCACACTGAAAGGAGAAAATGAGATGTGGCATGCACTGACCAGCTGGGCTGCACATGTAGCCCATCTTCCCTCTTCCAGCAGAACCCTCGCTCCTGCAGCTCTGCCAGTTCTGGCAGTCCTGGTTTTGTGCAGATGCTTTGCTGTATGACGTATGCTGAAAGGCATTGAGGGGTTTGGCATTGCTCTGAACAGGAGGGATGTGCACAGAGAGCTGGCCAGATGCTGGTCTCCACTATTGTCCTTTCTAGGTTATTTAGGCAGCTGAGAAGTCCTCTCGGGTAGAGGAATCTGTGCACTGGGGGCAAACTCTGGACACAGCTTTGCTGTCACTAGCATTAAACACCTGAGAGCCGTTTCATGGTAGCAGAATATAAGATGGTCTGAACTAAGGCTGGGCTGATACAGTCTCTGTCAGCTCTGGGGCTCAGGAAAAGGCAGTGTGGGCATGTTTTGAGCTCGGATCTTCTTGCTGGGCTGGGAGTAACGAGTTAGAGACAAGGAACTAAAAGCATGCATAGTGAAAATAGTGGCAACTAGGAATATGCAGGTGCAGATCAGTTGTGTGGGCCACATGAAGCAGATTAGAGGCCCACACAGCCCTCTACCATGCCTTTGGCAGGCATCAGCTGTTTCACAGGGGCAAAACTTGCACTGGGCACCCCAGGGAACATTTCCTTCCTGTCCTCAGAACTTTGTTGTTCTTTTCCCTCCAGACCTCTTATCTGTTAAAAAATACCTCCATTATTCTAATATTGGAAACTGTTCCTGAAAAATGTGTCCTGCTTCCTCCCACAGATGTCCTGCTGGGGAGAGTTCCCCAGGATGCCTAAGCAGTGTGGAGAATGGTGCCAGCTTCAGTTGACACCGTCCCTCTGTTTCATGAAAAACAGTATTTTCCAGTATGTGAGGCATTTTCACAACTCCCACCTTTTGGGAAACAGTAGTCTAAAATCAAGCAGCCTAACTCTGTGTCAGAGCTACTTGCCATGTGGTCTGGTCCCAAGGGCTCTGGCCTCCTGCAGTTACTGCTGTGGCACAACAGTGGTTGGTGGTAGCAAAGACAGTGGCAGGTATCTGATCACTGAGGGAAAGGATGGTCTGTTTTATATAGGCTGTCTTATGCCGCAGTGCATCATACATGCTGGAAAAGACAGTGTCCCTGGCTTTGTGCTCCTGCTACATTTTGAACTAGTTGGATAGGGAGAGCAGTAGATCCTGATCCCTTCTCCCTGTCCTATTTATTCTTCTGTATACCTTTCTCAGCTGCCCCCTTTGGAATGATTCAGCCTGGATGATGAGATGCAGTATGCGTGGGTTTTTCTCCCTAGTGTGGAGCTGTCTGGGCTGTGCTGAATCGTTTGCGTGTGGCCCACACCACTCAACTGCTGCTTTGGGGAGTAGCGGGTGTGTAAAACAGAGCGGGAGCAAAGCACGAGCAAATAAGCATCTGTGTGTGAGTTGGTCTGCTGCTGGTAGTCTCAGCCAGGGTGGGGTAAAGGTCAAAGCAGAAATAGGAGAAACAAAGAAGAAAGCAAACAGAGAGGATGAAATGAGGTCTCACACCGAGAGCAGACACCACTAAGTGTCCTGAATTCATGTACTGATCAGAAGGAAATGTGAGTGGCAATGCCCTGTGATCGCTGCACAGGAGAATTTGCGCTTTCCACTACTGGTGCAAGCACCTTTATCAGCTTCCCTCGCAGTCATCCTGGGCTGTGACCACCTGGGACACTCCTCCTCCTCCACCTGGCTGTGCCGAAATACAACAGGGTGTTTTCCTTAAGAGTGAGACTTGTGGGCCCGTGTGTTTGGCCTGTGAGCAGAAGGTGGGATTGCTGAATGGTGGCCAACCCTCCTGCAGAGGGCCCAGGCCAACCCTTGCTGCGGGATGCTGTCTGTGGAGAGGGAGCTGTAAGGGGAAGCAGGGCAGAGAGCCCCTGAAACAAAAGCATTTGCATGCTGTTGTGCTGGACTGTCAGCCAGCTCGGGTAGCGGAGGGGTTAATCCCACATGCTTTGGAGGTGCCTGGAGTCAGCATTTTGTAAAACATTTCCCTTTGGAGGTGGCAACAGGGAAAATGCTAGTGTAGGTAGGGTTTCCTTCACCCGGTGGCATTTCAGCTACTTGCTGTGTAACCTTGCTTACAGCAGGCCTGTGCCACACAGCGCTTAAAATATCAGTCTGTCAGCGCCTTGTCTACACAAGGAACGGTCGTGAGGAATAGACTCAACTGTTGAAGAAACAGGATTGAGGAGGTCAGGGAATTCCTCCTTCACAGAATCCAAAGTGATTTATTTTTTTACCAAGTCCAATTTTCCCTCCCCTCCCTGTCTGACAGCTTTTGGGGGGAAGAGTGACAAGTAAAGGAGGCATCTTTATCCCCTGGGCTGGATTAGTCACGTTTGTCTCTGGCGGAGCAACATTTCTCACTGTAGTAGCTTCCATTTCAGCAGACCACTTAGAGCCGTTTCTAACAGAACAAATGTCAGGGTCTGCTTATTAAGAATTAATTCATCACCTTTTGAATAATTTTCCTCCATTTCTTTTTTCTCCTTTTCATCATTCTGCAGACACCTAAGAAGCAAGCAACTCTAGAAGAATCCTGTGATACACTATATGAGAATATCTAACAGGAATAAATCTCACCCTGTGTGGACCAGACATCTTTCTGTACTGCAGAACTACTGTCTTACATTCCCAGTTCTCCGCAGAGATCCACAATGACTTCAGGGCACAACCATGAGGGACTTGTGACCCCCTGGCTCCTTCTGAAGTGCCCTTCATTAACAAGAGAATGCATCTGTTCAAATCCCACTGGGCTCAGTCGGCATTGATGCAGCAGAGCTATTTTGCAGCAAAGCCGTTTGATGCAAAAGAAAAGCTGCTTTTGTCAAGCACTCACAACATGTATCTTAGAAATGGTGCAGATGGGATCTGTGCAGATTTCTCTCACCTGGAATGGCTGAAATACTTAAATCTCAATCCTCTGTAAATGATGGGACTATCCGGAGACCTCCCTGTTTGCTTTCTTGATCTTCCAATCCTGATCTGCAGCAGTCCATCTGATCCTGTGTCTACGACTTTTCTGACACGGTCATCAGGCCTTCATGCATAGTTTAACCAAGATCCAAGCATCCACCTGCCCATTTTTCCTTTCTCAGGAACCCCACAGTGAAACATGCTTTCTCATAATCTGCTAATCCCATCAAGTAGTCACAGATGCCTGCTGTGACCATACTCAGCTGACTCAAATCAGTGCCTCCAAGTAAATGCTTTTGCCTCAGCAATAACAGCAGTATATGATGAGGACTGGATGCACAGACAGAGATAAAGATGGAGAATGGGAAAATAGAGAAAATAACCCTGCCTGGCAGAAAATACCCGTCTCAGTGACAGTGCCCTTTCCAGAACAACGAAGAGAAACAAGGAGGTGGGCATTTGCAGAAACTCCCTTGCTGGCACTGCATAAACCAAGCAGGTCTGGGGCCAGGTTTCAGCCCAGAGACATTCAAGCCGAGCTCCCCAGTTTCCTTCTTTTTGGCAGTGGGCATTGTTATCACTTGGGATTTTGAGCCTCTGTGGGAGCAGGCATGGTACCTCTGCCCCACGAAAGGCAATAGGTTTGTCCTTGTTTCAGCTGGCCAGTATTTCCCAACAAGGGTATAAGTCTCCTTTACCCTGACTCCATAGGTTATTTACCCAGGCAGACCTGTTCTGAAACTTAGAGCAACTGGAGGGAGGCCCTAGAGGGGAATCTTCTATCCAAGCTTTTCTCTTTCCTGTCAGCTGGAACTTGCCTACCATTTGTGCTTATGCATATTCTAGTTCTGATAGGGAAGAGGTTACATGAAATATCCATATAACACGATCAAAACAGTGGATCAAAAAGCTGAGGCTGTTTTATCTCAGATTAAAAAAAACAACAACAGAAAAACAACTAACCAAAGCCAACCCCAAATAAGAATGTGCAGCATAACTTGAGAGGAATCATAGAAACCTCTTTAAAGAAGATCAAATTAAAATTGAGCTCCAGGGTCATAGGACCCTCTCTAGTTGAAGATAATGTTGCTATGCATCAGAGATAGAGGCTATGGAAAATGTCTTCGGGGCTTCTAGCCTTCCTATACTATGTTTAAAGAGATAATCCGCTTACTGCTTTGCTCTTTTTATTAGAAGAAATTTCAAACATGCAATTTGGACTTTCTTTAACCACAGGAAAATGCTTTTTCTCTTCCCAGTGTTGAGGAATTCATTTCAGAAAGAGCAATGAACAGACAGTGTGGCTTATTAGACCCATTTTCCATTTGTTAAGTGATCATGACAATTACAAATAAATATTTTTGAAGTAAGGAATTTTAGTGTTTCCTAATACGACCAGAAAACATCCATATTCACAGAAGAACTTCAAGAGGATTGTTACAGGTATTACAGTTCCTTTCCTTAACAAATTTGAAGAAATCATGAGATGAATTATAAATATGTTGCAGCATGGCAATAAAATATTCAGCACAAGCTGGTGGAAAATAGATAAAAAGTGAAAACTTTCAAAACAATCCTGCTTAGTTTTTGTGTTTTGCTTTTTCAGTTTTACAAATGCTAAAAATACTGGGTGGTACTGGAAATTTCCTGGCAAGGATCTCACTTTGCAATGAATTGATTTGTCTTGTCTTTCTGTTATGTTTTTAAATAGCGTGTTTCTTACACTTATGCCTGAAAAATTCTGTATATTAAGTAGCTGAAGCTGTTTAAAATGAAACATGAGAGGAAGAATGGTATTTGGAACAGAAAAGACTATTCTGGAAGAGTCAGAGCTAAAGTACTGGAAGAATCACACCAGGTTCTGATCAATTAAGTGGAAAAGTCCAAGAGACACTGAGGATTTGGGCTGTGCTCCAAAGCTTGCCAAGGTCGGGGGGAGTCGGTGTGTTGATTTCAAATGGGTTCTGGATTGGCCCTGTGAGGGTAAAAGGCTGTTGCACAAGAAAAAGAAGTTCTGAACCTATGTAGCCACAAGCTAGTATCACTTCTTTAACACTGTGTGCCACTGGCAGCCACAGTTGCATTGGAATGTGTGACAGGGAAAGGTATAAAGAGGGATGCTTTTAAATGGTATGAAGTGTTCCAAGGAGGTATGAGGAAATGCCTTCAGGCACAGGCAGGAGAGATTAGGAAATATAATTCATATAAAATTGGTATAGCTACTTTGTAGCAGAGATTTGTTCAGGAAAAAGGCAGCCATTTGGTCTTTTTGTCTTACCTGGCTCTATGGCTCATGAGAATAGACACAGAAAATGAGTATTACTAACAGGAGGAAAGGAGCTAATTTTTAAGTATTGAGCAATTAAACAAGAAAAAAATGGATGGGCTCTCCCGGCTCCCCAAAGGTGAGAGGTGATGACTAGCTTATTGTGTTCACTCTACATGTTTTGCTTTAAAGTAAATATTGAATTTCCTCTTAAAAACTGTGCCCCTAATGTGCTCAGCTCCACTTGCTTCCCCCAGCATAGTGCTGTTGTGCACAGAGCGTGCTTGCAGGTTACAGTGGTGTAAACTTTGATTTCCAAGTGTTGAATTATCCTTTTGTGTTGACAGGATTTCATGGAAGTGGAGACCCGCTACTGAAGTAAGCAGTGGCGCAAGGTGGAAATGAGCTGCCCTGACACCTTCTAAAGGAGGTGCCATGCTAGCACCAAGGTCCTTTGCCATCTCCACCAGGTCCTGAGAAATGCAGTATCTCACCGTGACCATCCTCACTTGTTGTCTTAGCTGGTATTGCTGCAAAGGGCCTTGGCAATACTGAAGTCACCTAGTCCCTTTAAAACAACTCCTTCACAATGCTTCACTGCAAATCCTAATTTGAGAAGGCAGAACCTGGGGTGCACATGAGTGGTTCTTTGGTTTGTTGGTTTCATCCTTTTCTGCAGAGGACAAAGCAATTGCATGGGTACTGTCCAGATGTATGAAACACGCCAACTATATTTTGCCTTTATCTGTAGATAAGAAAGACCTTGCTGTGGTGGATAATGACAATGAAATGTATATCCAAGGTGTAGCCCAAGGGGTTCTTTACTGATTCCAACTTCTACTCCTTTTTCCTTCTCAGGGGTGTCACTAGTGGAAATCACCTCTAAATACCTGGCTAGGGCTGGCTCTTAATCAAGGGAGGTGCTTGACTGAACAGCATCCAAGTGAAATGGTTACCACGGCTCTGGTTTGCACCACTGTCCCATCCAGCAGTGCCATAAAGGTGCATAAGTCTGCACCAAGGGCACGGATGTCTTCCTGTAGAGCTGCCTCTTGGAAAGACCTGGTGTTCCTTCAGCCCTTGACTAATGCAATACTGTGACCCTGTGAGACAGGGATTTGGGGTAGGCAGTGAGTGAAGCCACCAGATGGTGCCCTAGGTCCTCTCTGCTCCTTTTCCTGTCCCCTGCCTGCCCACATCCTCCTGCCAGCTCCCCCAGTAGCCCCCAGACCACAGACTCTCAGGGGTGGGCACCTTCAGCCATGCAGAACATCCCCGGCCATGACTGTCTTCTGCCCCTGGGGTTGGTGCTTCTGGCACCCCTCACAGCTCTGCATCAGGGCCCAGGTGCCACCAGCACCTCTGAAGAGATGGGGAAAGGACAGGTTCCCCTCTGCATCCATTAAGTCTGGAGAATTAGCTTCATTAGACAGCAGTGTCTTGGCACAGGGCTGCCCATGTGAGGGCCAGGAGAGTGGCTGCTGACACCATCCATGAGTCAGATTGGCATCTAAAATGCAAATTAGGCCAGATGTTCAGGGCTGCTTGGAGCTGCCACCACTTTTCTTTCCATCTGGAAATGGCATCTTATCTTGGGTTTGGGAAAATTTTCTGTGCCCATGATGAAAAAATTGTTTGCAGCATATGCTTCTCCTCTTCTTTGCTGTGTCAGGAAGCTGATCAAGGCTCAGATACTGCTCTTTCTGTGGTTTGGGATTCTGTGGTCACCAAGATTTGCTATGCACAGTGAAGTATCATTGAGTTTACAAATGAAAAAAGGAGATGGTCAGAGAGCACCAGTGATCTCCAAGGGAAAAGTGGAGAATGTGAGCTTCAGCATCTTCTCTTGCTTGATTCTAGGGCAAGCCCATTCTCCACATGCTGTCAGGGGTATAATGTTTTTCTTTGTTAATGATAAAATAGAAATGCAGGTTACTATTAGTAACTAGTATGTTACTAGGTACTTCACTATTTATAACCAGCCCTTTAAGCTGCCGAACTGTGTTATGAGCTGTGGATCTGCTCTCATTCAGGGGAGGGAGTCTTTCGATGAACTCTCCTGGAGATCCTCTTTTCTTGCAGCACTTTGAATTATGTGGGTTGTGTCATATTGCTCTGGGCCACATGAAGATTTGGATATACAGCTGGTAGGGCCAGGCAGGTCAGCCACCCTGCTATAAGGAGTCAGAATGTAATTATCCAAATTGGAACAGGGTGAACATGGAAAAGCTAACATATGGACTTCTTAAAAATGTTATGTCTTTTAATAACTAGTCAGGGCCTCTGGTTTTGATCCCATCTGAAAGATCTGTCTGCTTACAATTTTATGCAATGATATCTGAGTACTTCCAGGGGCAATAATTGTACCCAAAATACCTGTACCACAGTGAGTTTCCCTCCCTTGTGAAGAAATTAGCCCTGTAGTACCGCTAACAGTCCTTTTGGCACTGACAAGCGCTGTTAAAATCAAAGATTCCAGTAGTTCTTGCAAGGCTCAGCATGATCTTTCAGCTTCATAAATAGGAAAAAAAAAAGGAGGCTCAGGATGTTAATGGAGTCTCAGGAGGTTTAACTACTTTTCCAAAATTGCAGGGTGTCAGAGGTGAAGTCGGGAACAGAATTCAGGTTCCTATGTTCTTATTTGTCCCAGGTTGTCCAGGTGAGAGCCAGGAGGTGGGTAAGTAGGGAGCTGCTGAACTCCATGCAGTTTAGGAAAACCAAAAAAGTTTCTTCGTGAGTCACCAGCCCCAGCTTCTGCAGGGCTTTGCTTTTCATGTTTGATTTCCCATGTAAGTATCAGTCAGGCTCATGTCTGCCTGGCTGAGGTCGCAAAGCTGCAGGAGAAGTTACTGCTCTCTTTTACAGAGGTATCCACCATTTTGGCAATAAGAGTCAAAATACCATGGAAAGCCCAAATATGTACGCTGTAATTCTCCAAATAAATGTTTATGGAGGGAATGTGCTGAGTTGCTCCTCAACCACCCCATAAAGCCTTCCTGATTCCTGAAGAAGTTCCTGAGCTTGTCAAGAGGCTTTAGACAAGGAAGAGCAAATGGCTGCAGCTGAGTCTCAAAGGCATTCTCTGCTCATGAGAAGAGGCAGAGAAGTCCCTACCATCCCAACAGTTAGATGCTGGAGAAGAAGGAGGTGTGAAGAGAGGTGATAATACTGATAATTAGGTGAATGGAAATACTTGCCATTCTTTTTAATGTTTAAAGGAAACCACAGTTTTGAGGTGATGTAATTCCCACTCGGCTGGGTTGTTTATTCAAGCAGTGCAGTGCAGCGCTATGCTGGCACATGGGGAAGAGAAAGCAAAACTTTAGCTCAGCTTTTGCCCTCTCAGGATTTCTGTATGCTTTCAGTCTCATTCAGGTCAAGGCAGGGTGTGAACTTCAAGCACAGCAGCTCTTCCAGCATGGCCCTCTCTACAGATTGACCCTTTGCTAAAGCATATGCAACATGCAATGGGAGATTTGAAGAAATCAGTTTAATAGGAGTTGTAACTCTTCCTTTTCTCCTCTCCAAAAGGTTTAAAATAATCTTGCTGTCCATAAAAATCAGGTTAGCTATTTTTGGTTCTTGCAGAGCTAAAATGAATGCAGCATCTCTCATTTCCAGTCATGGCAAGTCACTTGACATCAATTGTTAATTGTTTGATTAATTTCGAATTTTCAGAGCTGACAGTGCCTGTCCTAGCACTTAGACAAGAGCTACATTTAAAAGAAAAAACACTTCCTTTCTTTTTTCTTTTTTTTTTTTTCCTGTTCTTTGAACATAGCCTGGAAGGTAAAAACATGGAATTACAGGGAGGTTTTTAATGTATGTTGTCCTGAGAAAGATGGGCCATTAGGCAGAGTGCAAATAAAACAGGCAGAGGTTCATCATAAACTAGGGGGGTGTGATGAATTAATTTTAGCATATGCTTCAGCAATTCATTACAAGACTATCTTAAACCCAACCGTTAGTACACTTTGCTGTATGCTCATCTGTGTTAGGCCATGGTTTTCATTTCAACAAGTAAGCAGAAATGTTTCCTTCATGAAGACGGGTGACATTTCTATACACAGAAAGGCCATTTAAGGTCAACAGTTACAGGGGCTATACCTTTGTGTGCTCTGTGTATGGTTGGACAGGTAATTATCACTGCATATGACTCCCTAAGGGGTGGTGTTAAAAAGTATAGACCAAATAAGAACAGACGTTCAAACCCCTTCTAGGACGTTTATAAAATAGCATGGCCTTTCCCTGCCCTCATTCTCTCCTCCCTCCCCGCCTCCCAGCAATGTGTGTGTAGCACATCCAGGATGAGCAGCAACATGCTGTACCAGCCCTTGCTTGGGAGGAACGTATTATACTGTCAAGTCCTGCTTTTCTGTGTAACAGGCAGGCCAGAACATATGATGGTACAGACTGATATAAAGGTGTTACAGGTACAAGTTTAAGTCAACTTTCCTATGTTGACTATGTTCCAGACACAGCTACATGTTGGGCAGAGAAGAGATTCAGAGCAGCCCTGCGGAGAAGGACTTGGGGGTGCTGGTCGATGAGAAAATGAACATGAGCTGGCTGCAGTGTGTGCCTGCAGCCTAGAAAGCCAGCTGTGTCCTGGGCTGCATCAAAAGGAGTGTGACCAGCAGGTCGAAGGAGGTGATCCTGACCCTTTACTCTGCTCTTGTGAGACCTCACTTGGAGTACTGTGTGCAGTTCTGGTGTCCTCAACATAAAAAAGGACGTGGATCTGTTGGAACAAGTCCAGAGGAGGGCCACAAGAATGATCAGGGGACTGGAGCACCTCCCATATGAAGACAGGCTGAGAAAGTTGGGGCTGTTTAGCCTGGAGAAGAGAAGGCTGCATGGAGACCTCATAGCAACCTTCCAGTATCTGAAGGGGGCCTATAGGGATGCTGGGGATGGACTCTTCATTAGGGACTGTAGTGACAGGACAAGGGGTAATGGGTTAAAACTTAAACAAGGGAAGTTTAGATTGGATATAAGGAGGAAATTCTTTCCTGTTAGGGTGGTGAGGCACTGGAATAGGTTGCCCAAGGAGGTTGTGAATGCTCCATCCCTGGCAGTGTTCAAGGCCAGGTTGGACGAGGCCTTGGGTGATATGGTTTAGTGTGAGGTGTCCCTGGCCATGGCAGGGGGGTTGGAACTTGATGATCTTAAGGTCCTTTCCAACCCTAACTATTCTATGATTCTATGTTGCAAAAATGACTTATTTTGATATCACCCCTCTAACTAAGGAATAATAAGGGCTCTGATTTTTTTCTTTCCAATTAGCTGTATGCCACAGACTTCTCGGGAGAGGTAAGCGCCATTCTGGACATTTACTCATAGGTCTGCATAATCCAGGAAACATTATGATGCCAATATTAAAACACAGGAGTGCCACCACAACTGTTCTTACCAGATGATAAGCCAGTGATGTCACAAGAAAATCCCAGTGGTAAAAGGGAAAAATTCTGACAATACACCCCTCCAGCCACTCTGAATACAGCACTCACTCCATGGTCACCTGCTGGAACTAAGCATGGGTATTTCAGTTTACAAGTGTCTCCACCAATGGTGTAGAGAAGGGAAAGTTTCCACTGTGTACTGGGCTGAGACCTATTGCTCTGCAGATACTCCAGTCAGCAGGCAGTTAAACAGTTCCAAGGCATATTGCCCTCATCTAATCCCTTCCTGCAGTCAGGTTTCTTATGTGCCATACTCCTGTCTTGTGCAAACCAGGTGATAGGAAGCTCCTCTGGGGTGCCATCTTCCAGGCTTGTAGATTAATGTTTCCTCTGCTTAATTTAATTTACATGTAAACCATTTATACTCCCTCAGACAACCCTAAACAATCTTTCTCATTCCCTGGTGCTTCTGCACCCCTGAAGTTCTCATACGCAATTCCCATGATGCTCTTCACAGTCGTTATTTGGGCAAACTACACACACTGCAATCCCTTCCAGCTTTTTTATCATTTTATGTTGCTCTTCTTTTTATTTCCCTCCAAGTTGTTGACATCTAGCTAGCACTGAGTTGTCCAGAACTAAACATGTCTTCAAACTGCGGTCTCACCACTATATTAAAAAATGGGACTATTGCCTATATCTCTGAGAAGAGGTCTCTGCCTTTACAACCCCAAATTAAATTAACTGCATGATTTTTGCTGCCATATCACATTGCAAAAACATATTAAATCTGCTGTCTACTGTCTCCCTGAGGTCTTCTGGTATTTCTGCTTGCAGTGCTTGAGCACAGATGATTCCTCTCTTCACCTCAGTTTCTATCTTTCAGTAGCTCATATGTTGTACCTACTGCCTTCTTAGACACGTGGGATCGTTCAGGGTTCCTCTTGGAGGAACAGCAGTGTGATTCCTTACACATAAGTAAATTATATCTATTTTTTTAGCATGAAATAGTCTGTCTCCACCATTTTCCCTCCAAGCTGTCCTATGATAATCTGCCTCAGTGCAATTAAAAGGCATGCTATTCTTTTTGGTTTCCAGATTTTCCCTATTTATAACTAACTGTATGGAGTGCTGGCCTGTATGTTAATAAACTGCAACAATCTGTTTGAACGTCACATACTGAGGATCATGGGTTGAAACTCTTTTTCTGGAGAAAAGGAAACGCTGTTCTTTCCTTAAGAAGTTTCTGTCCCAAATGTCAAGAATATGGATTAGCTTTTCTTTGGTGAGGAATGACATATGAAAATGCTGCTTTGTGCATGAGATTTCTTTCTATGGGTAGCTCAACACTCTGCAATTAACTTTCCTGGGAAATAAGAGCTACCACGGAAACTGCCACCGTCCTCATTATCACTGGTATAAACACAAAGCAACATGAACAGCAGAGAGGAAAAAAACCAACCCACTCATGAAACCAAACCGTTTTGCTCCATGCATCTTCTTCCTAAGAAGAGAACAAGAAAAAGAAAAGCCCTCCATGTGACAGATGTTAGTCAGATGAGCTAATGCAGTCCTAGAAGGTACTTGGATATTACGTTCATGGAAACAGTGTAAGAATCGATACAGAAGGGAATCCATTTTATCATATTCTATTTCACAGATAAGAGAATCTGGAAGAATTGGTTAAAGCAGGTGAGATGCTAAAAGTGGTGTTGTAGCTGCGGATGGTCTAAAGATCCTAGGGAAGCAAGATTTGTGGCAAAAGGTAATATCCTTTATTAGATCAACTGGTAGAGCTGGAAAAAGCAAACAAGCTTTTGGGCTCAGGGTCTCTTTATCAGATCTGACAGAAGGCAGCAATATGCCAGCTAACTACAGGTTAGATGCAATTGCTCTTAGTTTAATCTAATTATATTAATCAATGCGACCACTTGAGGAAAGAAAGGAGCACCTATGAAGTGGAAAAGGGTGTGAGCAGAAGTGACTGACAGGCTGCTGGTGCTCTGCTGAACCACTGGCAGAAAAGGGTTGTTTGTGCTGGTGACAAAGGGAGAGCTCAGCAGGCAGACTGTAACAGGCTAGGAAGGCAACATCTCCCTTAGACCCATGAGCTTTAGTGTCTAGGGAGTATAAGTTTTAATGCCAAGCTTTATCTTTTGGGAACATTTTGTAGGTCTCCTTTGGGGTAAGGATGGAGGGGTTCAACTTGCTGCTGTCTCACAAAAGGTACTCTAATGATGAGTACGGTTTTCTGTCCTTTACTGGCTGGCAGTAGGCGCTTTCTAAGACAGCAATTATTTTAGGTTCATTCACACTGTTTCTGTGGGGCTATTTCACGTGCAGGATGAAGCGATGAACTGTAGAGATGTGGGACAACTACATGCAGGAACAAAGAATTTTGGTGGTTTCGCTGTGGGAGGAAGGGCATTGATTATGCTGTCTGTGCAGCGGTCCTGGCGTATTTCATGTTTGATGCTCTGGTGGTATCTGGTTCTATTTCATGTGTTTTCATCTGCGGATTTACTTCCTGTAATGAGCTGAGAAAGGGAGAGCCTGAAGGTTAGGAGAAGAGACACAGGGAAAAAAAATCTTTCAGAGACACTAATTTAAAAGATTATTTTATGTGTGGTTTTTAACATGGAATATTATTGCTACAGGGCTTGTGATTGCGGGAGGAATGCTACAGCAGAGACTAAACTAAAAAGCAGAAAAATTTGCAGCAAGCTAATGTGGTCAGAGTCTTTGCAAGTTCTTGTTAATCTCAGTTGCACTAGACAAATATCGAATAAACCTTGATCCTTTGAAAAGCGATTTTCTAAAATCGTTGCTGTTGCTGTTTTATCTTTATCATAGTAAATTTAAATCTATTTTGCTGTAATTGTGACCTTGCTGCAGCTCACCAGTGTTCCCCTCAGAGCAGGTGCAACAATATCTGCAGGGCTGGCTGAATCTCACAGCTTCTTGGTGTGTTTTGGATGTCTGTTGGTCTTATTGCATCCGCTTTATAGAGGGAGTCTTATGGTCTGTCTGTTCTTGTGTATGTGTTTTTTTTGCAGGGCACCATTTTTTAATGTCAATTGTGGTGTCTAGAAAGCTGATGCCAGTGTAGGAGCAATCCTGAGACGGACTAGAGCAGCAGGGAAGCTGCTCGTTCAATTTGTGGCTGCATTTGATGAAGGATTCCAAGGTTTCCTGAGCTGCCTGCATTCCTGATAGAAATGTCATCTCTGTTTCCTATATACAGCATGGCTTGGTGGTGTAATGTTTTTCCGACTTGGCTTGTGAAGAAAAATGGCATATCGAGGTGTTAAAGAGCTGCAGAAGGGTGATCTCCCTCTGCCCCCCACTTTGTGCTTAGCAAACAAGAAGAGATTGTCTAAATGCTGTCTGGAGAGCTGGGTGCTTGCTGCATGATGTAGCAGGCGCAAAAATTCCACATGGATCAAGAAAAAAACCCAAACAGCTGACTGCATTCATTAATAAAAAAGCCTTGGAAGCTGTTGAATGCGAAGACCCCAGCTGTGGGTTAGGAAGTGCCTGATCACAGATCACCAGGTGATAGGGGAGGTCTTCTAGGGCAGTGTCACAGCTGCTTGTTGGAGCCGACAGCCTATGTTAGGGTTTGTCTGTTGAGCGCTCTGGGAGGTAGGATACTGATCTGACTCAGTACTGCTGTTTCTCTTCTACAGAAAACGAGGGGCTTTCCTCGCTTTTACTGGAACGCACGTAATTACGTTTTCATTTACTTTCCCGACTGCAGCGGCAGGCCCAGGCATATGCATCAGGGCCCCGAGTAGCCTTAAGAGGGGAACAAAACCACTGTTCAAGGGTCCGTTTTACCCACTCCTACTCCACGTTAAAGGGGACCGCGGAAGCCCCTGCCCGCCTCCTCTGTGGCTCCAGCAACACCCCACTACCAGTGAGGCAGCCTTTCCTCTAGGAAAGCCGGCGCCTGCAGCAGGAGGGCTGGTGGTGAGGCCTTCCCGACCCGGAGCGAAGCCCGCCAGGCCGGAGCAGAGGCCGATCCCGCAGAGGCCGATCTCACCGAGGCCTCTGGCGAGGACGGGCCTGCAGCGCCGCATCCCCTCAAGGAAACAGGGGCAAGAGCGGGACCCGAGGGGGTGGGGGGAGCCGACACACGATGGGCCCTGGGGCAGCGCCCTGCCCCGCCGCCTCCCCCTCCAGGCAGCGCTGTGAGATGCCAGAGCCCTCCTCCGCGCCCGGCCCTGTCGAGGGAGCCCGCCCCGCCAGCGGCTCCTCCTCCTCCCCGGCCGCCGCCGCTCTGCCAGCAGCCGGTCGGGCCTGAGACCCGCGCCCGGCTGCGGGGCCTTCTCTGAGCGCTGGCGGACGGCGGGCGGGGGAAAAGTGAGGAAAATTCAGCAAGGAAAAGCCCCGGAGACCGAGCCCGTCGCGTCACATGAGCTGACAGGATCCGTACCCGCTCCCCTCGGCGCAACAAAGAGCCGGGAGCCCTTCTGCCCGCCGCGGGACGGGGCTGCAATGGGACCCTGAGGGCCGGCCCTCATAGGTAAGCGGCCGCCGTTACGACGTTTGCCCGCCCGCCTTACCTGGCGGGCGAGAGCGCCCCCCCACCTGGCGCGAAGGGCGGGGCGGCGGGGTGAAACCGGCACCCCTCGACTCCTCTGCACCCTCTGGGTCTGAGGTGACTTCCTAAAACCTTTGGAGTTGTGTGGTGTTCCTCCCCCGGCGTGTGCGGCGTTTATGGCGGGGTTTATTTGCTTTTAAGCGGGCGGTAACCCCAGCTCCCCCCGGGGACGGCGAGCGGGACCCGCCGCCCTCGCGTGCCTCCCTCAGCAGCCTTCCCCGCGTGTGAAGGGCGGGCGCCTCCACAGCCGGGGGGCAGGCGGTCTCTGCTGAGGGCACTGGTGCTCCCCGCGACCCTCGCCTGGGTTCTGCCCGGCTTCCTGTGTGCAGCCGTCGTTAACCTCCGATTGCTTAGTGTTTCACGCTTTTAACGGTGAGCAGTTAACCCCGTGCGGTTTTATGCATTGCCTCCCCCAGTCTCCCACCCTTCTCCCCAATCCCGTATGGACCAGCACATCGTAACCTTTCTGGCTGTTAAAAAGAACATTAAGGTGATCTTTATTTTTGCCAAGGCGCCATCCCGCTTACGAGCTGCCTTTCCCAAGCCAAATTCCTGCTGGTAGGCAGCCCCTCGCCCACCCGAGGTCTGTGAGTGGAAGTTGTTGACAGTGGCATGCACATGTGCCACACGTTCCTCGGGTGAGCGACCTCGCACCGAGGTTTGTGGCTAGAAACTCGCGGTGGGAGCCCAGGGTGAGTGAAAAACATCACAGCAAGGCTGGTGTCTGAAGCCTCTTCTTTGAGAAATGCTCTGCCCCGTTTTTGCTACGTGTTGGTGCTCAGAGTGGCGTGCTGGGATGGGTGTTGGGGGTGTAGAGGTAAGGAGCAGTTTGTGGGGGTTCTGAGGAAGTGGGCTGGGGGTGCGGGGAGCTGGGGTGGCATGGGAGCAGGCAGGAGGTTGAGGAAGACCTGGCAAGTGGAAGGTACAAGTGATGGGAGTGGGGGACTGTGGGCAGCCTGGGCAGGGGACTGAGTCTCATGAGTGCACTCCCCTCTTTGTGTGTGTATGGCATGGTGTGGTGCTGGTGAAGGGAATGGTTTACATGTGAGGGTTGTTTGGTCTTGGTTTTTTTTGGGTTTGGGTTTTTTTTTTATTATTTCATGATTTTATTCTTGGCTTGCTGCCCTCTCTGCTATGATACGGAAATAATCTGCTCCTCGGCACAACTGGCATCTTCCCCCTTACACCAAGCGGCCACC